GTGACACACCGTGTAGTGGCGTGACACACCGTGTAGTGGCGTGACACACCGTGTAGTGGCGTGACACACCGTGGAGAGGTGTGATACACAATGGAGGGGTTTGATACACTGTAGGGAGCTTCAACACGTACAGCGTATAGAGAACTTCAACACAACCAAATCCCACCCACAGCAGTCCAGGTTACTGCAACAATACGTGCATCACATTAAGCGATAAAATCAATCCGTTCTCTCACAATTGTCTGGACAACAATAAACCCCACCTCCTGCACCTGCAGCTCGTTTGTTTCATTTTTAACCGATACGAAAATTGAATTTAAATGCTAAACATTCACAATGAAGCAGCTAGTCAAAATCATAAAAGACAAATAATTAATTAGAATATTTTTCATTGTCTGATTAAATCAGATTAAATCTCAGCCAGAACAAATATCACACCTAGAGCAAACTCCAAAACCAAACAACCCGAGCTTTTCCTGCATGTTTTTTCTCGTATTTACCGGAGTCTCGTGGCGCTGTATAAATCCGTTTCTATCCTTTAATCAGTTTTTGGATCTCTCTAATCCTTCAGCAGCTCGTTTTACAATCAGTCCAGCAAAACTTCAGCAGCCGGGCCAATACAGCTTATTGAGATGAGACTGACTGGAGGCCCGGCAGAACACAGAACATGCTGGTGGGATAACATCAAAACCCACTTCACCTCGACTGGGTTTTGAAGGACCCAGCTGAACCTGGACTTCCAGGCCAACTCACCTGTGCGCTCTATGTAGTCGACACATTTCTCGATGAAGAGCGGGATGGGGCGCTCCGCGGTCACCAGGGTCTGAAGGGGAACGCCAAAGTAGTTGCTCTCCCAGGTTCTCCGGGTCGGGGGGTAGAGAGGCTTCGGGGATTTGTTTGCTTTGGGCTATGAGACAAAAACAAAATTAAAAACTGAGATGAGAAAGTTAGGAAAAAACTGTGAATGGAGGGGAATAAGAAAGAGGAGAGATTAAAGGAGAAAGGAGACAGAGGAGGAAACGTCAAGAGAAGAAATGGAGGAAAGGAGCCATCAGAGGAAGGAGACAGAGGAGAGGAGACATCAGAGGAGGAAGGAGACAGAGGAGAGGAAACATCAGAGGAGGAAGGAGAGACAGAGGAGACATCAGAGGAGGAAGGAGACAGAGGAGACATCAGAGGAGGAGACTGGGGGAGAGGAAACATCAGAGGAGGAGAAGTCAGAGGAGAGGAGACATCAGAAGAGGATACAGGGGGAGAGGAGACATTATAGAAGGAAGGAGACAGAGGAGACATCAGAGGAGACAAAGGACAGGAGACATCAGAGGAGACAAAGGACAGGAGACATCAGAGGATGAGACAATGGAGGAGGAGACAGAGGAGAGCAATCATGGAACAAATCAGAAATAACTTCAGTGAGATGTAGGAGGAAGAGGAGAGATTCATGTGAAGGAGGACATCAAGACATGGGGACACAGACGCAGGTGAGATTAACGATGCTCTGAGTTAGCTTTGATTTCCCACAATCCCCCGCTCTTCAATGCGTTTCCATGCCGACAGAGGTTCCGTCTAATTGTCCAAGACGGCGATTAACCACCTTCCATTTTGTACCTCCTGGTTGTCCCTTCACGCCCGCCTCCAATCGTCCAACAGACGCTCTCATGGCGCCGCGGCACCAGAGGAGCTTCCTCTGCTGATTTATACTCCGTTCTCTGATTGGCGGTTCTGCCACTCGTGTTCCTGTGGCCCAGTTCTGACCGACAGCTTACAGAAACAAACTAACAGGAAGTAGTTATGATTTTATTATTCAGTTTGTGTTCAATTTTAATTTGATCGCACCCAGAGGCTCTGGAAAATTTAAATGTTAAAGTTTAATTAAACTAACACGGCAGAAAAAAACATGGTGGCCCTCTGACAATCTTAAAGGGATATTCCAGCCATTTAGGACAGGTGTGTTGGAAAAGTCAAAGAATAACAACTTCCTGTTTGGAAAAACTTTTTAAATTATTGCCTTCTGCTGAAAGGTCAGAGATATGAGCCAAAATTTGATGCGGTAGTAGCTGTCTGTTAGCAAAATATCCTCTAAACAGATTTAAACTGACCTACAAATGATCAACTTTTACAGTCAATCCATTTCAAGATGGCTGCCAGTCAACCTCAGCAAACAGAAAAATGGTTTCAAGTGTCAGTTTTACAAATACTGAAGTAAAACTCTGGCGTGAAAGGCGGTGGGCGACATGCATTCTGGTCTTAGATTCTGAAGGGACCGACCAGCTAATGGCTAGTCAGAGCAGGGTCGGGACTAAAGCCTAAAGTAGATCTTCACAGTGTTTCCTACAAACATCTAGACCGAGGTCAGTTTCAAATTCATAACAGGAGAAAAAACCTCCTGCAGGAAGTGCCCAGGCTGCTACAGCTAGCTGCTGCTGCTATTTGAGTTTTACTCCAAACACAAAACTAGACGATCTACAAAATACGGGTCATTAAAAATGTTATGCTTCTCTGATGTGTCTCCTGAGCTGTACGGTTTTTATGGATAAATTACTCAGATTGGTAAACACCGTAATAGTAAATAAATAGAAAAAGTACCAAAACTGTATTAAAATCTTTCTATATTCATAAAAGGACGGACGGTTTCCCGTTTATTTCTTAATATTTATAATCCACCACCTGACAAAGCAAGGTTTAGATAAAAAAAATGTTGCCATCATAAAACTGGGAATTTAGAATAATAAAAGAAAATTAGGTGTAAATCAGAATTTATAGGTTTTAATCATTTGGAAGTACTCGATGTTGCTGATTTTATTTATTTCAGTATATTTGAATATTTCAATTTTAAGTTAAAAAAAAATATTTTTTTAATGTAATTTACTGTTCCTTAAATATAAAAATGTAGCAGCTCCAAATTAAAAAAAAAATATATGATCATAAATAAAATTTTGGGTAAATAATTGTATTATTAGAGCTTTTTGTTCTTTGTGATGTTTAAAAAAAAAAAAAAACTTTCAGCTGGAGGAACACAAGAAACATTCTCACCTTTTTGGGTTCTTTTGGCGTTTTGGGCGTCTTCTTCTTCTTCTTCATCTTGTCGTCCTGCTCGGGGTCAGACATGATGGCGGGATTATCGATCCCGAGCTTCCAGGGGTCAGCCGGGGACAACAGCGGGTCCTCCTCGCTGCCCCGATGGGCCCGTCCCTTCTTCTTCTTCTGCGTGGCGGGACAGGACTCCTCTCCGTCGCTGTCCGAGTGGAATTGTCTCTGGTATGCTTTAATTTTGCTGAACAGGATTTTGGAGCGATGTTTGTACTTCGACGGTCGCCGCCCGGCCTGAGACTTCCGGTCAAATCCGTTCTCCTCCTCTTCTCCTGCGTGGAGGCCCGGCAGCGCACCAAAGGAGTTTTTGACTTTGATAAGACGGTTGTGGGTGTCATCGGGCACCAAGTATATGTCGAAAGCCCTGGGTCTATAGAGGGAGTCCGCCGGGTCTGCATAGTTATCAGACGCCTCCACATCTTCGGTGTGCGTGACCGGACCACGAGGCATCCTGCGGTTCCCCCGCATGCCCGCCTCGATGGTTTTGAGCAGGTTGGGGTCCAGTTTTTTCACATTGGGTTTGGGGAGCACTGGTTTGGGCCGGACAGGTGGAGGCACTTTGTGGTTGCGTTCATGGTCTCCAACAGGCGTGCTGTGGACTGGGTACTCGTTCCCCTCCAGGTCGATCCGGTACTTGGCCCGCTCGCTGGGAGTAGGGAGGAGCTGGACGTCGTCTCCGATTGGACTGTAGGGGGGCGGAGCCTCGTTATCATCATCTGATTCTGGGTAATACGTGTTGTATGCAGGGGAGTGGCTGTGAGGCGACGTGGGGAAGACGTCTTCGCTGGCGCCGGTGGTGCACTCGCGGGATGAGCTGTCAAACAGGAAGGAGCTCTCGATGCTCAGCTTCTTTTCCAGGACTTCGTTAAAGAAGGGGGTGAAAACTTCCGTCTGCCGGTGATACTGCGACAGAGAATAGAGCGCCGTAAACTTGGCGGCGATTTCTGTGGCGATGTGCTCCCCCTCAGTCATCAGCTCCTTGATGGCGTCATTCTCAAAGAAATCCGCCTGGCTGTCAGTGATCGCCACCATCTGGACCGGGATAACATCATGGACTTCGGCCAGGAATGCCCGCAGGGTAGCCATGGAGGCCTTGCGTTTGGCAGAGTAAACCAGGATGTAGCCATGCACCAGCTCATCTTTACGCACGCCGATGGCAGAGTGGTAAGAGATGATGGTGACTTGGATCCGGCGCCGGCTGTCTCCAATAATCTTGTCTAGAATGAGGGTGTTGCTCTGACCCGGCTGACCTGCGCTGCAGCAGTGCGAGTCCAGGAAGGGTGAGAGGATGAGGTCGACGCTGAACGGATCCCAGCACATGGCACACATGACTATCCTCAGGTCCGTCTCCGTCAGGTCTTTGATGCAGGGTAAGGGGGCCAACACGTCAAAGTTATGCTTCAGCCCCTCCAGCACCGCTCGGAGCCCCTGCTTTATTTGGAACTCTGTGAATTTGCGAGGAAAAGCCCCTGAGGGGATGTCGACAAAGGTGCACTGCAGCTTGTTTGCCAGCTGCTGTCCCTGGTGCCGCAGGATGGGGATGTTCTTACACACGTTGTCCCTCTGGTTTGCCAGGATAAGAATGAAAGGGAGCGGCTGAGCGAACCGATCCCGTCGACTCTGAGCGATTTCTGCTCTGATCCTCCCGATGCAGTCACCGATGCTGTTCAGAGACTCGATGGAGTTGAAGACACAGAAGCAGCCATGAGGCTTGAAGGTGGTGACCCACGTGTGGCTGAAGAGCAGCGTGGAGTTAACATCTACAGAAAGAAGCTCAACTTCATAAATTTTACCATCCAGGGTGTACTCATCGTCTGTGGACTGAGCTCGGATCTCATTGGCTAGCTCCTGTGACAAACCATCCTTTCCCAAGAGGCAGAGGTTGATTCTGTCGATGTTGGCGCTGTTGTAGTAGAGGCTGGAGCGCCCGTGGTCGAGCTGCACCAGCCTGTTGGCCAGAATCTGCTCCACTTTCAGGTCCACACAGTTCTGCCCGCTCAGACACGTCTCTTTAGTGGGGTGGTAAACGAAGCCAATGTGTTTAAGGAGGAGGGACTCTCGGTCCGGGGCGAGTTTCTGCAGCGCTCGGTACCTGGGCTCCTCGTTCAGCACGCTGTGGATCTCGCTCATCTTGTCGCAGCTCGGGGTGGCGTTCAGGTCCAGGTCATAAAAAAGCTCTGCGTGCTCAAACAGCATTTCCTGAAAATCCTCTTTGGCCTTTTCAACTATTTCTTGCTGGTGCCTACAGTAAACGTCCCTCCGATCTGAATCAGTGATGTACTTGTAGGCTTCATCTTCCATGACGAAACACATGACTTCCTCCCATGACTGCCCCGGGCTGATGAAATGGACCCGCTCCAGAGTCTTCTTGAACCTGTCCTTCATCTCCACTCGTCTTTTCTCAGACAGCAGGTGCTGGACGTGGTTAAGGTAAATTTTCTCTGCCTCGTGTGTATTCAGGAGGTCAAAGGGTATCCTGCGGTCGTTGTTATCTATGTGGTCCGATTCATCCCAGGGCGTGTGCTCCAGCACCACAAACCAGTACTGGAAATCGGGCCGATTGTGGATTAAACTCTTCGCCTCGGTCCAGGAGAGGGTTTCCACCTGCTCCAGGTTGTTGAACAGATTGTTGAGGGTTTTGGGCAGAGCTGTCAGGTACTCCTCTCGCCTCTTCTTGATGTGCTCTTGTTTTAGTTGTGCGATGTGCTTCGTGAACATGTTGCGTGCTTTACGGGAGCCCTCCAGGGTGATGAACTCATCGTAGTCCGGTTGCCCCTTCAGGATATTTACAACAGTTTTCCATGTGGTGTGATAATCTCTCACCGTGTGAGTCATCACTTTGTCAAATCTGTCTGTAACGGAGGTGATGAGCTGCCGCTGGAGCTTATAGGCCTCCAGGTAAGACACACTTTTAGGCTTTCCCCTCGTTTTATCCAGCTGCTGGATCAGAGCGTTGAAGCAGAGGTCTATGTTGATATTGAAACGTGCCGACGTTTCAATCAGCATCAAGTTTTTCTTACTGGTTACGAAGGCGTGGAGGTCCCGTAGATGCTGATCCACACACTCGTCGCATTTTGTGGCAGCGACGACGGTCGGTTTCTTTGACTTGACGATTTGTGAGTACAGACTGTTCACAAACTTCATCTGGTCCTCATACTTCCTGTTGCAACCCTTGCTGACGTCAACACACAGCACAAAGCCGTCAATGTTGAGTTTGCCATCCGGCATCTGCTTCTGGTCGAAGTCCTGCTCCAGGCCCAGCTGGTCCGTGCAGATGTACATGAGCTTCTCCGCAGACTGAAGCTTGGTCGCCGCCGCTCGTTTGGTGTACGGCTGAAGGTTTGTGCTTCGATGAGGAAGAAACGTTTGGTCATCGATGAACTCCGTTTGCTCGATAATCTGGATCTTACAGTCCAAACCCTCGTCCCCTCGATGGGACACGTCCCCCCAGTACAGGAAGTGGTCATTGTTGACCACGCGTCCACCAAAGTCTATCGTGCTGAGCACGGAGGTGTGCTCAGAGTAGTAATTATCTGCATCAGGGCGCACGTATCGGTTGCACAGGCAGGACTTGCCCACGCCACAGTTGCCCTTCTCTTTCTCCGTCCCAGAGAGGCCAACCACGCTGACGGCAAATATCGGGGGGCGTACATCTTTGTTTTTGGCCATTATATCCCCCCGCTCATTGCTACACCTGCTTACTGTCAGAGAAAGGGGTCAGGATATCATTCCAGTGTCACTGGGTCGGAGGTTCAGTCATTTTCATCCTTTTATTCCGGTGAACACTCGTCTTCGTGTCGCTCTCAGCTCCTGTCCCGGGAATCCCTCCGAGCTGGGATGAGCAGCCAGCTTCTCCGATTATCACCTCCCTGAGGGAGAAGACAACAGGAAAGGATCAGGACCAGACAGAAAATAAACAAATATTCAGATTTAGATTCACTTGTTGTCAGAGTAATAAATGCACTTCATGCCACGTTCAGATTTACCAAAAAAAGCTAATTAATCAAAAAAATTGTACAAGATACTCGTTTTTTTCTAATTAAAACAGAAAAATGTTGACGTTGAGCAAGTTCAATAAAAATAAATGTACAAGAAGTTAGTTTTAAACAGCAAAATGTAAACATTTCTAAGAGGTGAATTGATGGCTCATTTAAAACCATGGGCTGAGCTCAGTAACGTCAGGTTTTCTTGTGGTGAAAAACAAACGGTCTGTTCAGACTATTTGTGTCGCAGCAGAATAAAAACAGCGCATGTCTGCTTTGACAACCACTGGCTGAACTTTAAAAATATTTTCTGCGCAGAGCGTAAAGAAATCCTTTCAGAAGATGCGGGAGTGAACATTTTATCCAGATCATGTTGTCGTCACCATCTTTTGCTTGGAACGGTCGTCGCTTGAATTACGATTTTGCTGTTTGCAACTTTTTAAAACTTCTAAATGTAGAAAAAAAAAATGTCTAAAAATATCACGACTGCACGGTATTTGCACTTTTACTCTGCAGCACTGCCATGGAGCTTCAAACCTGCCATGTCCTGAGGGTAAATAATCGCAGCGTGCGCAGAGAACAGTTTTCTTTTGAAAATAAATAAATAAATAAAATGGTGGCGACCAGCCAGTGACTGCAGCTGAGAGTCAGAACTGTTAGAGCCCGGGAAACGGCACCACGAGGAATCTGGATCACTGGAAACAAGCAGAGGTTCCCCTGACTGTTTATACAGGCCACGGTGATGAGGTCACCTCTGTGCGTGTGCACGTGTGTGTTCAGTAGATCAACAGGTTTAGAAACTTGAAGCATAGAAAAGGACACCTTTAAGCTCAAATTATGACCTCACATTCAAAAACCATGTTTAAACAATCAGAACAATCTTTTTCAAAATAAGACTGAATCTTTTCAGCCTGACCTGAGGTTTGAGCACGTCCACTGCCCCCGAAACACACCCAGAAAATCAGCTCATGATGAAAGAGAAAGCAAAGCGACCAGCCGGTCTGTCAGGTTCCCAAATCCAACATGAGAACAGCTACTGTACAGGTTATCTGCCGACACACCTGCCAGGTAAAAACTGTTCTCTGCTCCCGAACAGCTGCAGCGCAGAACAAACCACGGCATAAGTTGTTTACTAACAAATATATGAATACGCCCTGACGGCAAAAACGTTCTTAAGCAAGTAAAGTTTTATTGAAAACATAATATTTGTCAACAAATAAGCTTCATTTATAGGTCTAATGGCTAAAGCAGCCAGCAATACAGTTTCAGATAAAAAAACAAAACGTGTGACTATAACAAACAAAAAGTGGTTTGGTACTCGTTAAAGCTGAACAATAAAATCATCACATAATTTATTTAATCTTTATTTATACAGGTAGTCTCACCGAGTCACCAGGACTCATTTTCAGAAGAATTATGAGTTAAATATGTTAAACATTGGATAAATTTTAATAAAATTCACTGATTTCTTTCATCCTCATCTTTTCGTTTTTGTTTTTCATGTTTATTTTGAGCACACAACAACAAACAACACAATCAGGACTAAATTGTGAGTTACATTGTTTGTTTACAAATTCCTTGTTTTGGAAACTTCCACAATAAGCCTGATTCAAGATGGCCGCCCCAGTTAATCAAACTTAAATACAAAATAAAACTAGAGAAACGGCATTTGCTGCGAAAATGCTACGTGAATGCTTATTGCTGAAGAACAGCTGAAATCAGCTAAAAACATGCTGAAATGTAGCTAAAATTGAACAACAAGCCTAAGTTAGCAGAAAAAAAGCAGAAAGAACACTTACTTGCCAAATTAATTTCAAATAAGCTGAAATGATAGAAGAATTACGAATATTAGCTACAAAAATAAGCTGAAATTAGAAGGGAAAAAAGCTGAAAAGGCAGAAAGAAGCTTAAAAAACAGGAGGAAGTGGAAGGCGCTGATATGATCTAAAAAAAAAAGTGGAATTAGTTGAAAACGCTAAATTTAGCACAGAGAAGCTAAAAAGGAGCTGAAAAGACAGACAAAGCTGAAAAAGTAGAAAAAAAACCTGCAAGGAGCTGAAATTACCAGAAAGAAGATAATTAGGATGAAAGTAACAAATTACCGCAAAAAAAATTAAATTTATATGAAAACTGATTAAATTAGCTGGAAAATGCTAAAATGCTAAAAAGGAAGAATAAGCTTAAATTAGCAGAAGAAAGCAAAAAGAACATGTTTACCCAATTAGACTGAAAGAAGCTGAAATGAGTACTGTACTAAAAAATGGATATTGTTTGAAAAAAAGCTGAAATTAACAAAAAATAAATTTGCTTAAAAGTAGCTAAAAATTTCTGAAAAAAGCTTAAATTACCAAAAGGAAGTGGAGAGAGCACATTTTTGCTGAATTAGGCAGAATTTTTTTTAATGAGTGCAAAAAATATGGAATTGGTCAAAAAAGCCAAAGCATTAGCATAAAAACAGCTAAATATAAGCTGAAAAAGCTGAAACTTGCATAAAAAAGCTGAAAGGAGAACAATAATCTGAAATTAGCAGAAATACGTTACAAGAAGCACAAAAATGTTGTGGTTAGCTGAAAGAATCTAAAAGGAGCACAAAACAGATGAAAAACAGCTGAAAGTAGCTAAAAAAATATTAAATTTGCACAAGAAAGCTGAAAGAAGCAGAACAAAATGTGAAAGGAGCAGTAAAAGGTTGTGAACATATCTGAAGATTTCAAGGATGTAAAATGAGCTCCATTCATTTTCTACGAGGAAACAAGTGGCAGAAAAGGCTAAAAAAAAAAGTTTCAAAAAGCTAAAGCTGCACCAAAAGTCAAAGCAGGATTGTCCTGAAGGAGCTGAATGTTTTGATTTACGATTTGACAGGCGAACGCTTCATAAACGTTCACACAACTTGTGGTTTTTACAGACACCGAGCTAAGATTTGGTGTGGTAGTAGCCGAGTCCTCCCCAGCACAGACTCCGAGGGCTAACAGATGGTACGAGACATGCGAGGCGGCGGGCGATATGCATTCCTGTCATACGGTTACAGTCACAGGAACGTGAGTAAAGAAGGACGGTTGTAGTTAATGTGTAGAACCCTCTGACTCTTACGATGCACAAAACTGGACTAACTACATTATTATGTTTTTTCCAAACTGATCTTAGAAAGAGAAAAGAAGGACGACGCATCCTCGTTACTGATTTACACGTACACCTGCGTGTTTATCTCGTATACATGAATAAAACTACACGTTCTGTGGAGCCCCGGACTTTCCGAACACCGAGCGTCCCTTAAGGATTTACAAGTCAGATGTTAAAGCTTTGAGGTTCGTCTGCACAGATTAGGTGACAACCATCACGACCAGGAAGCGTTTAAAAACTCAAACCACCACTTCCTGTTGGACTAAAACAGACATTTCCACATCTGAACCTCAATATTTGTGAAGGTCGGCTCAAACACAAGCATCTGACTTGCTCTGTTCACCTGTACAGCTGCAAACACCTGGAAGGAGCCTCTGATAGTCCCATTAATATTAACAGCCAGAAGCAGAGCCCACCGCACATCTGCGCTGACAGCTAAATGTGAGCCGAAGCCGAGGCTGCGGGGGATTAACGTGTCACTTTGCAGGCTGCTTCAGAGACGGCTAAACGCTGATAAGCCCTCAAACAGCAGAACATGAAGCAGCCGGGGGGCGGGGGGGGGGGGGGGGGGACTTTTCTTGATAAATCCATGAGGAACTGAAGCGTGAATCTAAACGTGACGACGCTCCAGAGAAGAAAAGTCCCGGCAGCTTAGAAGTCAGCCCAAACCCCAAAGTTCCTCCCAACACCTGAGCTGTTGCATCATTTCCACCAGGCAGAGACCGGCCTCCACCTCACCTCCACCCTCACAACCAGCCAACAATCACGGACGAGAACTTTCAAACATTATGACTCAGTTTCTGATCCAACCGTGCGATAAGAAGCCAGGAAGTTACAAAGACGGCGTGCAGGGAACAAAAAGGCAGCGTCTTCAAACCAGCGCGTCAGCCTTCTTTAAAGGGTCAGAGCTGCAGCGCCAGGAGCCTCGAATCCTGAATCCTCCGTCCTCTGATGGAGGAGGAAGAACGGTTTATGGTCGGGTTGGTCGACTCCATCGACCCCGCACCAGTCTCAGACCTGTCAGCAGCTCAGGTGACCAGCATATAAAACAAAAACCCTCTGATGGACAGGTGTCACAGGTGAGCATCACCACCGCCACACCGGTGAGGGTGCGTCTGCACAATGGCACAAACAAATGAATGGTTTTTAAGAACCCGTTTGTTTCAGTCTGTGGTGCTCAGAACAAAAATAAATAAATAAAGACAGATATACACCCCCCTCCCCAAGTATTTGGGTGAAAGGGATCTGCTGGACCAACCTAGGAACCCTCTGACTGAACCCTAGGAACCCTCTGATTGAACCCTAGGAACTCTCTGACTGAACCCTAGGAACCCTCTGACTGAACCCTAGGAACCCTCTGACTGAACCCTAGGAACCCTCTGACTGAACCCTAGGAACCCTCTGACTGAACCCTAGGAACCCTCCGACTGAACCCTAGGAACCCTCCGACTGAACCCTAGGAACC